TTTCTTTTCTTGTTTTTTTTTATTCTGCTTCTCTCTTCTTCTTTTTTTTTTGTTTTTATTTTATTTTAGAGACATATATATATATATATATATTCTTCTGTAAGTCTGTTTCTCTCTCTTTTCCTCTTTTCTTTTTATTTTATTTTTTTGCTATTATTTTTTATTATTATTTTTGGTAGGTTCACGTTATTTTTTTTAATTATTATTATTATTATTATTATTATTTCTATTTCTTTTATGCTTTATTTTTGTCTTATTATCTTTACTTATTTTTTTTATTTTTTTTAATTGTAACATTCTGTTTTTTTATTACTTTTTTTTGTTACACTTTATTTTCAATTTTATTGTAATCATTTTTTTTTTTGCTTTTTCTTATTATTTTCTGCACATGGTTTCTGTTTTTTTTTTCTATTATAGTTTTTTTTATTACTCTTTCTCATTATTTTTAATTTTAGTTATGACTCTGATTAATATTTACATATTCTCTCAATGATAAACTTTTTAATAATTCGAATTAGATAACCATCTTATACTTAATTTAAAGAAAAAATTTTAATTCAAATAACGTGTTAAAAATTCAAATATATTACACATAAGTTTTTTAAATTACTTAATCAATTAAAAATTTTAGTTTACATCCTAATCTAACAAGTTTATAAATTTTATTTATTTATTTTTTAGTGAAAAATTAGGCTCAAAAAAACATTAGCTATTAAATATCACAAAATAAATTCTAATATAAATTGCATCTAAAAAAAATAACAGACACTAATAATAATGCAAAAAAAATGTATGATACATCTTTTATTTTATATTATTTTTGTTAGCAAGAAACATTTTCTTTTTTTTTCATTTTTCAGATCGAGAAAAAAAATAAAAAAAAATCTTAACATGCATCACATATTGATATTGCATAATAATAACATACGATTCAAAGAACTTCATATTATTAGATTAAAATTTTCATACAACATTACATTTAAATAATGCGAGAGTTTAGAATTACCTCGCTGCGAAGATGGATATCACGAAAAATAACTTCTATAATCTACTGATTTGAGCCACGAATTTGGAACCACGACAAAAAATCTCTAACTCTGACCTAATTCTCAAAAGAATGACTCACTTTTCTTCTCTGTGTTTCTCTGTATCTGTCTGTTCTCTTTTTTTCAACTCAACGTGTTTTTTTATAATAATTTTGACTGAGAGTCTGGTGCTAATTAAAAGGAAGGTAATAGAGTGGGATTAGGATTTAATTTGAAATATTGTTGAGGGAATTATGATTGAGAAATAATTAAATAATTATCCTACTAAATAACAATAATAGGAAAATTAGTTTTTGGGAGTTTGAGGTTATTTAAGATAAGGGGAAGGTAATTTGAATATTTAGAACTCTTTTTTTTCTACCATTATTTTTTAAACTAATTAAAAGTTGAATATTTAAAACAAATACCATAAATTCATAATTTTTATTATTAAAGTAATTTACAATTTATTTATTTATATTTATTCTAAATATAACTTTTTTTTGGTAAATCTTTATATTTTGGTAAAAAAATTAGGTGTTCACAGTATGCCCCTCTTTGCTTGGAAACATGAAGAGTTTTCATGCAAAGAACTAGTACTCTGGAGAATGATCTATATGTGATTCATGTTGATACTCAGTTGAAGACTCAGGGAGCTCAAATAAAGTCTCAGCAAACTCAAGCTACGACTGCTAATGTGGTTTTTTGTCATAGAACTTCCAATTTGACTTTGTGGAATCAAAGATTGGGTCACTTACCTGTTACTATACTAAGAACACTTAGTTGTTGCAAGCATATGTTTTCTTCCTTTACTGATATATGTATTGTTTGTCCTCTTGCTAAGCAAGTCAGATTACCTTTTTCTTTAAGTACTACTACTACATCAGCTTGTTTTCATACGTTACATGCTAATGTGTGGGGTCCCTATCGAGTTCCTACTCATGGCAATAAGAGATATTTTCTTACTGTGGTAGATGATTACTCTAGATATACTTGGGTGTTTCTGTTGAACTCTAAGTCAGAGGTTATTGTAGCCTTACAGAACTTCTTTAAAATGCTTGGCAATGTTTTTTCTAACACTATCAAAGTGTTGAGATCTAATAATGGTTTTGAGTTTTTCAACTCTCAAGTTTCTGATTTGCTTACAACATTGGGTATATTGCACCAGAGTTCTTGTACTTATACTCCGCAGCAAAATGGGATTGTAGAGCGAAAACATAGACATATTCTTGAGATAGCCAGATCTTTGAGATTTCAGTCTTATCTTCCTCTTAAAATTTGGGGAGAGTGTGTTCTTACAAGTGTGTACTTAATCAATAGGATACCCTCTGAGATTCTTAAGGGTAAAGCTCCTCATGATTTGTTATTAGAGTGTTTGGTTGTCTTGCATTTGCTTCTGAGGTAAAGAAGACTGACAAATTTTCTTCTAGAGCTGTTCCAGTTGTATTTCTTGGTTATTCTAGTCTTCAAAAGGCTACAAACTTTATGGTTTATATAAAAAACTTTCTTTGTTAGTAGAGATGTTGTGTTTCAAGAATTCATTTTTCCTTTTCAACATCTGAGTTCTTCTAGTTCTTCATTTTTTTCTGTGTTTCAATTCACAGATGATACTTGTACTTCTACAAATTTGCCTTGTGATCAGCGTCTCACTGTGCCTTTTGATTCCTCTATAGATCATGACTCTAATTCTTCTGTATCAATATCTCCACTACCCATTCCTCCACCAGAATCTATTAGTCTTAGAAAATCTTCTAGACTAACTAAACCTCCTATATGGATGAATGATTTTATTACTCCTAAGTCTAAGTCTGCTTGCTTATATCCTGTCTCCAATCATGTGTCATATAATCTTCTCTCTACTTCCTATGATGTTGCACTTACTGCTTACTCTTTTGTATCTGAGCGTACATCATTTACTGAGGCTTCTTCTCATCCTCAATGAGTTGATGCCATGAAGGTTGAAAGTGCTTTAGAGGCCAATCACACATGTAGCATTGTTGATCTTCCTCCTGGCAAGCATCCTATTGGTTGTAAATGGGTGTTTAAGGTCAAATATTTGGCCTCAGGAGCTGCTGAGAGGTACAAGGCTAGAATAGTTGCCAAGGGGTTCAGTAAGAAGGAGGGCATAGACTATACTGAAATTTTTTCTCCTGTTGCGAAGATGGTTACTGTTCGATCAGTTTTGGTTGTTGCTGTTGCTAAACATTGGACTATTTTTCAGATGGATGTTCATAATGCTTTCTTACAGGGTGATCTCCTTGAGGATGTATACACGGTGATTCCTCCTGGTTTTAGTAAGTCTGAGACATCTACTAAAGTGTGTAAGCTTCATAAATCACTGTATGGTCTCAAGCAGGCTCCTAGACATTGGAATCTGAAGTTAACTGAGGCATTACTTCAGCTTGGTTTTGTTTAGAGTCACTATGACTACTCCCTGTTTACTAAGCATACTGGTTCTTCTTTAATTGTGGTACTTTTGTATGTGGATGATCTTCTTGCTACTGGGAGTTGTAAGTCTTTGATTGTGCAAACAAGGAATGATCTTCAGCTCAAGTTCAACATGAATGATCTGGGAGAGTTAACTTTCTTTCTTGGCATTGAATTTGCTAGGTCCAAGGAGGGTATGTTATGAACCAGCGCAAATATGCTTTGGAACTTATTTATGAGATGGGATTAAGTGCTATAAAACCATTTCACACTCCAATAGATCCTAATGTAAGGTTGACTTCTATTGAATATGATTTACACGTGCAAGGTGATTCAAGAATTATACAAGGAGATAAACCTTTGAAGGATATTAGAAGATATCAAAGGTTGGTAGGTAGATTATTATATCTCACTATGACCAGGATAGACATATCATTTGTTGTCCAAGTTCTGAGTCAGTATATGCATGCTCCAAAAGAATTTCACGCGGAAGCAGCTCTCTGGGTAGTCAGATATATTAAAACATCTCCAGGTTAGGTCTTTTTATGACTTCACAAAGCTCAGAATTACTCACAACCTACTATGACTCAGATTGGGGTACTTGTATGCAAACAAGGAAATCTGTCACAAGCTATCTTGTAAAATTTGGTGATGCTATCATTTCTTGGAAGTCGAAGAAACAAGAGACTGTTGCTAGAAGTTCTGCAGAAGTTGAGTTTAGGAGCATGGCATCAGCAATAGCTGAAATTACATGGCTTATTGGATTATACAAGGAGTTAGGAGTCAACATTAAACAAGCAGTCAATCTATTTTGTGATAGTAAAGCAGCAATTCAAATTGCATCTAATCCTATCTTTCATGAACGAACTAAGCATTTTGATATAGATTGCTATTTTGTTAGAGAAAAGATATTACAACATATGATCAAGACACAACATGTATCAACAAGAGATCAACTATCAGATTTACTTATTAAAGGACTTTGGAAAGCTCCACATCTGCATTTAATGGCCAAGCTGGGAGTGAAAGACATCTTTCAGCCATCAGCTTGAGGAGGGGTGTTGAGCTAAAGTGTATAGATCAAAAGTTAGTTATTAGTTGGTTAAAAATCAGTTACAAAAGTTTGTTATGGTAAATTGTGGTTAGGTATCTTAACTAGTCTAGTTAGTTAGTTGATTCACATCTTTATATAGTGAGTATAGGTATTATTGTAAGTGTACTGCATTCATGAAAATCAAATAGAAGCTACATTCTTCTTCTCTTCTTAGCTTACTGTTTTTCAGTTCATACACCATTGTTGGTGCTTTTCAATTTTAGTTTTATCCTATTTCCATCTTATTTTATGTGGTTGTGTGGCTAAAAGGTTTATTGTGTGTGGCATCAATAGGTGCTTCCAATCAGATATCTCTCATCCATTATCACTATTGAAGAGGAAAACAATGGTATTTTGCCTCCATAACTTTTCCTCTTCAAGCTTCTTCAAATATTGTCGCAATTTTGCGGTAATTCTTTATTATCTCTAGTCTTCCTCTTCAATTATTTTTCATTCCTTAGGTTTTCTCCTTTATATGTTTTGTCCTTGATTTTCTTATGAGCTTTAAGAAAAACAATTGGGTCTTCCTCTTCAATTATTTTAAATTCATTCCTTAGGTTTTCTCCTTTGTATGTTTTCTCCTTGATTTTCTTATGAGATTTAAGAAAAACAATTGGGTTGATGAAGTTTGAAAGTTAAATCACAATGTGATTTTTCTTTCCCTAAAATTCTCTAATTATTGCTTATATGTTCCTCTTTGTTTCAATCTTGTTCACTCTGTGTTCCAATGGCCATGTTCTTGTTATGCTTTACTCATCAAGTATGACTAAGAAATGCCTACTACCTGTTTTAGTAAAATGCATGAATAGACTCTTTGATTTAGTTTTGAAATGCCTATAATGTATTCGTTTTCTTTCGTGATCTTACTTTTGAAATTTCTTGCTAGAAATGCCTAATCAAGCTTATTAATTGTCTTTACAGTTACATGTTGATGATTCTATTATTTCGCTATGTAGATAATATATCAAATTCTAAAGGTCGAGAGACGACAATTTAACAGAACAAAAGAAAAACATAAAAGGCCTAACTTTTTCATTTGCTTTGTCAATGAGAGAAATCATATCAAAACTTGATTAATAGGTTTCAATGGATGTTTTCAATTCTAATGGAGTTTGATAGGCTTCGTATGCTTGGAGGTAAAACTTTTTGTTGGATCAGGACATTCTGGTCATTTCAATTTGTTGCCATACTTTCATCCTATCTCTATCTTATTTTACGTGGTTGTGTGGCTAGAAGATTTAGTGTGTGTGGCATCAATGGGTGCTTCCAAATAGATATCTCTCATCTATAATCACTATTGAAGAGGAAAACAATGGTATTTTGCGTCATAACTTTTCCTCTTCTAGCTTGTCCAAATACTGTCGTAATTTTGGGTAATTCTTTATTGTCTCTAGTCTTCCTCTTCAATGATTTTTCATTCCTTAGGTTTTCTCCTTTATATGTTTTGTCCTTGATTTTCTTATGAGCTTTAAGAAAAACAATTGGGTCTTCCTCTTCAATTATTTTAAATTCATTCCTTAGGTTTTCTCCTTTATATGTTTTCTCCTTGATTTTCTTATGAGCTTTAAGAAAAACAATTGTGTTGATGAAATTTGAAAGTTAAATCACAATGTGATTTTTCTTTCCCTAAAATTCTCTGAATATTGCTTATATGTTCCTCTTTTTTTCAATCTTGCTCACTCTGTGTTCCAATGGCCATGTTATTGTTATGCTTTACTCATCAAGTACGACTAAGAAATTCCTACTATATGTTTTAGTAAAATGCTTGAATAGACTCTTTGATTTAGTTTTGAAATGCCTATAATGTATTCGTTTTCTTTCATGATTTTACTTTTGAAATTTTTTGCTAGAAATGCCTAATCAAGCTTATTACTTGTCTTTACAGTTATATGTTGATGATTCTATTATTTGGCTATTTACATAATATATCAAATTCTAAAGGTCGAGAGACGACAATTTAACAGAACAAAAGAAAAACATAAAAGGCCTAACTTTTTCATTTGCTTTCTCAATGAGAAAAATCATATGAAAACTTGATTAATAGGTTTCAATGGATGTTTTCCTTTCTAATGGAGTTTGATAGGCTCTACGTGCAAAGTATGGTTGGGCAAATTGTTGATATTAGCATTAGATAGGTTGTTGGATGTAATTTGCTTATTTCCGAGATGTTTGTCCTTAACAAGGATAATGAATGATGAAATTTATGTTTAAGACATCATTTAGGGATGTTTTTGAACAACACTTTCTTTGCATATTGGGTCAATGGTAATAACATATGTGTAAAACTCGTGTTAAGGAAATATATATTGTTAATATAAACAAAGCCACTCGTGTTATTTGAGAATCCAAGCTACTATAAATTCATCAATTCGACTTTAATATTTTCTATCTTTTCGATAAGTGAGGAATAACAAGAGGGAATAATTCTAAACTTTGACCCGTTGATGGTTCTTAAGAACGTGTCTGCCAAAGAAAATACACATATTTGTAAATGTGATTGATTTTAAGTTCATTTGTTAAGGATAGATTGTAATATCTTCTCGATAAAGAAACTTACTGTCATTTGAACTATAGAACTAGTTATTGATCTTTCTTCTCTTATGTTCTTCTCATTGAATATCTCTTGACAATCAACATATCAGCAATCGTTGAAATAATAGACTAGGACAAGTCAATTCTCCATTTCAGTTGATAATTTTACTCCTCCTCATGAAGAATGCAGGTATCAATTTGCTTTTAAGTTAAGTAGAATTTTCTATGTTTAAGGATAATATTTCAATTATACTTTGTTTAAGGATAACATTTCAATTATACTTTGCTTTAGCACTAATAGTTCAACTTTAAGCGTTGTAAATTTTATTGGAACATCCTATGTTTTTTCCCTCTCTTACTTACTAATTTTGTCACCAATGCCTGGACGTGATTAATCGTCACGGTTTTGCATTTTCTATTGTTTTGTTGTTGGGTTGTCCAACTTAATAAAATAGTAATTTAAATAAGGGATAATGCACAAATACCCCCTCAATCTATTACCCCTCTGAACTTATTTTATTAATAATTTTCTACCCCTTTTCGGTCTACGTGGCATTGTCTTGTGAGGCCAACGCTGGTTGACTTTTTCTTTCAAGCTAGTATCACGTAGGCCGAAAAAGGGTAAAAAATTATTTGTAAAATAATTTCAGGGGGATTATAGGATCTTAGTATAGTATGAATATGTCTCTGAAATTTCGGCATAGATTGAGGGGGTATTGTGCATTTTCCCTTTGAATAAATATATCATGCTAAAAGAAGTGCAGTGTTTTGGTCCATTGAAAAACCTTATATAATTTCTTTAGCTTTTTCCTGTCTGCTTTCTTTGATCTTGTCCTTGAATTTTCAATATGTATCTGATCCCATTATATAATGGCTTTCTTATATTTTATTTCTAACATCAAATTTTGTCTTTGCTTTTTTTATTTTTAATATGCATTAACTCATTAAATATTTTATATATTTATGTGTATTCATATAATGTCCTTGAGGTTTTAAATTTCAGATTATATCATGGTTCGACTTGCATAACTGAAATAAAAAAAATACACATAATGAAACAACTCTCTGATGGTCGGATTGGATTAGGTCTTATCAAATTTTTCATATCATTCTATATCATCTTTTGTCAAAAATGTCTCATCAATAAATTATTATACTAAAGATGTTGTCATCCTAAAAATAATGTCTAGAAAGTAGCAAAATTTACCAAGTGTTATAAAATTGTGTGTTGCTTTTATGTTAAAGTACACATCTCAAAATAATTTCTAGAAAGGAGCAATATTTACTAAACTTGAATGTACGTGTTATAAAATTGTGTGTTATGATTTTATGTTAAATTACGACGTAGCTATGGAATTGAGCATACTGTAAATAGTTTCTAAAATTATGATTATTTGTAAGTAACAATTGTTATTTAGGATTCAAGTTATCTTAAAGTGACTGAAATTTCTTTCTATAATTATTTAGGATTCAAGTTATCTTAAAGTGAATGAAATTTCTTTCTATAATAGAGGATTACCAGGTCAAATTATATATCATATTTGGCATGTTCTCCGCCTGGGCAATACTTATCTAGTATATATAAAGCATATAGTTTTATGGCAGTAGTATATTACTAATGATAAGGTTTGAAAAAACAACCTTTCATATTTTTTTTACAGTTAGATAATTATTGTAACGACCTGTTTAGTCGTTTTGAGCAGCAGATTTTATTTCTGGAAAAACTGGCTGAGTCGACGGATCCCACGACGGACCGTCATGGGCACGACGGACCGTCGAGGGGGTCTCATTTCAAAACACTTAGAAATTCTGAAAAATAGGTACTGAAATTGACTCTCTGAACTTCGTAACGGAATAGCAGGACGGACCGTCACAGACTCTTTAAGGGAATTGAGTCTCTGAACTCTGTGACGGAGCAGCAGGACGGACCGTCGCAGGCACGACGGGCC